CTAGTAGGTTGGAGGCCATCACTATTAGGTTGGAGGCCATCGCTAGTCACGAAAGCTAGCACCAGCTAGCTGGAGTTGTCCTTGCTAGCTAGTGAGGGGCTGGAATCCTCGAGATCGCCGCATCACGTGAAAACTTCATATGTAGAGGGCCCCCCCCCCGCGGGTTCAACTCCCCCCTGGGACGCCTTTGGGACGGGACACCTCTTGGACACCTCTTATGGCATCCACTGTGGTTCAACTCCTCTGTGGAGGTTTTGGGCTACGATGCAACAGATTCAACAGATTCACTAGCTAAGGTTGGCTGTGTCATTGCTGTTCGTGTGTCTTACATGTTCACAACGTTTTACCTCATGAGCGAGACCTTGTGAACCATCCCTCCAACAGCCCCATGCCTATGAAAGAAGATTTGCCTCACTCCGCTTGATGTCCCACCAGTCCTTTGTCACTGGACGGCGCTGTATGCTTCGCCTTCACTGACACGGATGCATCCCTGCTAGCTTTCGTCACCCTTGGCCTCAAGTAGGTTGGAGGCCATCGCTATTAGGTTGGAGGCCATCGCTAGTAGGTCCAGAGGCGCCCGTCTCGGACGTGCCACCTTCGTCCGAGCGGCGCTTTTGCTCGCAGAGGTGACCCAGATCTTCAACGAAAGACTTCAGGAGGACACGACCTTTCAGGGTCGAGTCACCGTGAACCTGGCATGATTTTGATCATCTTTCGACCCGAATGCTGTTCCGAACGAATGGCTGGCTATATGTAAAACAAAGTATGATGTGACAATGTACGCGCCTGGGCACACATGCATACAATACTATACCGATGCCCAGAAGTCCTGCAGCACACAAAATGCCTCAGGATCAAGAGATTAGATGTACAGGTCGTGCTTGCGGAGGCTGGTGGCCATGAGTTGCCTCCAGCACCCCAGAAGCATGAGCCAGACTGACCCACTCTGTCGCCAGGCGGAGGTCATGTCCGTGGTGCTGGAATCTTCCACCACTCAATCTTCGACCACTCAGGTGGAAAATGGGGTGCGACCGAGCAACGACGATGGCATCCC